CAATGTTCAGGTGAAGGAAACCTTCTATCGTGCGTTCACTTAACATAACGAGTGATATAAACCACGTTGAAGGTGTGAAAACTCCGATTTCTGAATTTTTTTCACTCCTTTTTTGGCATTCAGAGGGCCGCTCAGAAAAAATGGAGCCTAGTTTTGTACTCCATGCATGTGCCCCTTTATCATGCAAAAAACCGTTTTCAAAAAGGGCTCCATGGTTAGTGTTTACATAATATGATTAAATTAACACATACAGGAAGAAAGAGCGCTAACAAGAGCAGCGAATCCAAAAAACAGCGCCGTTGTGACGCAGGGCCTGCACCAAATATCAGAACTTTTGGGAATGGCATAGTTTGGATGGATATCTTGTTTTGGAGAAACACAGCTAGCTGCGTAAAGTCTCTACTGGATTCTGTATATGGTTAAGATGGAATGTCAAAGGTAGAAGGCCACAGGCTACTCATCGATCATACAAGCAATTCCAATTTAATCTTTTACGCCCTCTTCTCAGAGTGTCTGCGCTCAGAGCAGCTTTCGCAGAGCAATCGCGCTATTCTCTGCATGAGGGATCGTACTGCTCCAGGTCCTGCGATCGGAACTGCTCGATCGGGCAGAACATTGGGGCAACGCGGATTTTCAGAGCTTTGTTAGCATTTTGGCTACCTATGACACTACGAGTGTGGATGACACTCAAGTTTTCGGAGTGCTTAGGTTTTTGCAAATGTCTAGGGCCGATGTCAGACTTTGCGAATCGAGCGATTCGCTAGCGTCCGCGGTCGCGTTGCGGTACCAGCCAATTGAGTGATTCACTGGCCGCGACGCGACCGCAGACGCTAGCGAATCGCGCGATTCGCAAAGTCTGACATCGGCCTAGCAAAGGCGTCAGGCAGGCGTTGCGGTGTTTATGGTGGTCATTTTGTGGCGTTTTTTTTCACTATTCTACCAAATGGTGCTCGAAAAAGTTCTCTTGAACAACGCTCATTATTTTCGGATGTATAAAGCCGGTTTTTTTTTCGCTATTAAGCCACGCGGCGTGTTAGGAATTTTGACAGAGATAGATCTGTATTCAGCTCCATACGGATTCCGAAGTGGAAAATGAAAGTGGTCCAGGGCGCTCCGCAAATCCTTCTGGATTGGCAAGGATTTTCTTCTTGGTGTGAGTGCAAAGTTTGAAACAAACGAGGCCTGAGCTTTTTCTGCATTGGGTCCCAGCCCTTTGGCAGGGCCCTGCTGGCGTAGAAACGGATGCACTAATAGGGAGTTTAAGATGAAAGGGCTTCTCATCAGGTTTGAGGTACGGATGATCAGTGATGGACGCGAAGAAAAAATCGTGAAGAATGGTCAAGAACCCGAGTAATGTGTCCCCTTCCTTGCCCGTTGATTTCCGCGTTTGCATTGATGCGATTCTCATCACTGCTGCCCTCTTCGAAGCTAACGCTCTCTCTGGTAACGGCTGGAGTCAAGGCGCGAGAGATTAAGCTTGGTCACGGGGTGCAGAGAAAGAGTTTGCATGACGCGGCATGGGAAATATACTGTTTAGTAGGTCTTGGAACCGCCTGCCTTTTGTGTAGTATTATTATCTTCTTACTACTATTACCAAGTCCATCTGACATTCTAACGGGGGGGTGTATTTTGCGCGAGAGTGGGATGCGTTATTCGCAGGTCCAGAAGTCTACATTAGCAGGATGAGAGACATAATTGACAAAGGCTTCTCAACTATTGACCACCACGATGCTGGGCACTCACGAAGAGTCCATTAGCGTAAAGTGTCCATATTTGAACTGTTATGCACAACATCCTCTCGAGAAAATCCATGTTTTCAAAACTGAAGCCTAATTGGAAAAAAGTGACAAGCTCCGTTTGTTAGATTGTTACTTCGTTAATTTGAGGCTTTTGCACGAAAACTCCGGAAATAAATACTCACTGCTCCTACAATCTTGAGGTTTCAAGTGTTATCATAGAGCACCAAAGTTTGTGCGATGTCATGTTTTCATCACTCCTCATAAAATTGAGTTTGAAGAGAGTTGTAACTGTTTGAGTGTTGAAACTCGTGTTTTCAGACAGTTGCTGCTCCGAAAATTCATGAAAAAATTGTCCAACGGGGGTGTTTTTTTGAAGAAAAGGGACGTTGCAAAGTTTGAGTACTTTCAGAAAGGGAACAATCTATGTGGTGTTCAAAAATCTCTTACCACTTCTCACATTTCCTTATTTGAGGAAAATTTCCAACCTTTCAAGGAAGGCAGTGGCATTCCTGTATCGGCATTGTCTACAGTCCAGATAACTAACACGTTTTGAAGAGTGCTGAAAGCGGTTGTTTTCGGGAAACTAGGGGTCTCGTAGATTACAAATCCGCTTTGCATTTTGAAAAATATTGACGCTGAACAGAATTACACTTTTAAAATTAGTAGTCCGCCTCGGTCTATCCGCGCTGGGTCGAGGGGAAGATTGTGCGCGCCAATGCGAACGCAACGCTCCCGTGCTCAATTCGGTTTCCCGGCGGGAAAGTTCTACTTATATCCAAGTTCTGTTTTATGGTGTTTTGTATTTAATCCTTATATCGCTATTCTCGAGTAGGATACACGTTTATATATCCCATAGACACAAACAAATGGTGTTGGGTGGGGGTGGAATCGTATCGAGGCCCTCCAGAAGGGGGGGGGGGTCGTAAAATTTTTGAAATTTGTCCAACGTGACGGTTGACCCTGCCTCCTACGTTGTCGCGGAATCCATTAGCACAAATGGTTACTACCAGGAAGGTGTTAAGCTTCCTCAATCGAGGGACTGCGAGTGACGCGACCATTATGAAATCTGCTCGTTATGCCTCTCCTGCTCGCGTGGCTGTTAAAGCGACCTTGCTTGACACTCAATTCATTAAGGAGAGAATTTTTCAGACGGTGGAAGAATCACTGAGCGAGAAGGAGATCAGACAACAAGAAGAGGACTACCCTCTAACGAACGACCACGAGGGGCCTATCGAGTAGCGTCGTCCATTGTCTTCACACCTAATTGAACGCTCTCTTGATTTTCACCTCCATCAGTTTGATTTCGATAAAATTTTCATTTTGAAATGTTTTTCATTGATGGAGTGAAAGCTTTACCTGGCGCTCATGATTGGCGAGCAGAGAGCGAGACTTACCAAGAAATGTGAAAATCGTAGCTAGGCTTCTATAATACGATTAATTATCAGTGTATCATGGATTCTAGGGATATGACTCCCGAGCAGGGTGAATATTGCTTGAGGATTCCTCAACGGCACGTCGAGGATTTTCGCCTGATCCTTTACGTTCTCGCGCGCGGACATTCACACTCGCCATGCGCGAGCCGTCTGTGCTCTCCGCGCGTACATTCACTCTCGGCACTACTCTCGCACAGCAGAGAGCGATGGTCGAGGAATTCCTCGACCGTTATTCACCCTGCTCCCGAGTATAGACAGCCCTTGAAGCTGTTTGGCAGGTGATGGAAGTCTTGATGGCTCTGCAAGTCAGGTCGGTGAGAGTGCAACTGAGCGCGGAAACTTTCCCGTGGGGATATTCCATAAGGGCCTACAGCGTCACAACGCCAAACGAACGAATAAAAGCTTCTGAACTCCATTTGAATCTGGCCGTGGTTGCGATTGGTGGCTGCTAGTTGGTGGATGGGTAGCGTCTGCAGCTAGGATGGGCCACTGCTTGGCGATCATCAGAGGTACGGTGATCTGTGCTTCAAAACTTCCTGCCAACCATTTTTCGTCCAAACTGGTGCCAAAACGATCGGAACGTGTCCATTTGCTAGATGCGTTGGCGGTCTGGAGCCATTTGCTCGATACGTGGATGGCGCCAGCGGCTGGTCCACAAAAGCCGCAGCGCTCAGAGAGGCAATTGGAGGTCTTCGAAGTCGCCCGCCTACAATTCCTTATCCGACGTGGGCGACTGCTTCACAAAGACTAAGGTAAGTAGCTTTCTATTTGTATTACAGTTTTATTTTGTGAATGTGGCTCTTGTCGCAACTCATGATCTCACTGTCATTGAGATTATTTAACTAGAGTTAGCAAGCCTCTGTCTATTGAGTCGCACTGGAGCGTCCGAGTCAGTCCATCCCAGTAATCTTCGCAATTACGCCCAATGCACGTCGGTAAAACAGATCCACCTTCCAACCGTTGGCTCACTGCCTTCAAGCTATCTGGTACCTTCGGCGCTGCGGTTTTCAGTGACTGTTTTACTTTAGCAGTGTATGAGAGTGGTTTTCAATCGTTATTTTGGTGTATGAAACTGCCTTTTTTGGTTTGTTATTATATTGTGAATTTTTCGGCTACAGGTGGATCTGGCATTTACAGAATTTGCGGACTATTGCGCCTTCTGGACTACATCCCTGAACGCTCTCTTCTGCTCGATTATAGAGCGTTGGTGTCAAAGAGTCACTGCCAGTTCGCATATTGAGCTTTTCTCTGGCGTATTGAAGTTGGTAGGACCAGCTTTGGGTCACATTTCTAGAAAATGGAAGGAAATGGAATCGAAGGACGAGCAAAATAACAATTCTTTGCTCCCAGTGCGGTGAAATGACCTTGCCTTGAGCAGATATGGGTAACTAGAAGCACAGAATGAACCGACGACGAATCTCGTACTTTTTTGAAATCATGGAGAAGGGCGAGAAAGCGATGCAAACGTTCTTGGGATCATTTTGCCGACAAAGTTTACAAAAGTAGTGCCTGGTAATGAGTTGTACTCGTGGAGAAAAATGGCCTACTGCTTGATTTCCAATTCTTTCTCTTGCTTGTGTCATAATTCCTTTTTTGTTTTGCTGGACTCTTTTGTATTTGTGACCTGATTTGTTCGTTAGGTAACAATCTCCAGAGGAGGATTAGGATTAGTTCATGAGTCCCCTGCACTACAACTCCTTCTACAACAGGAAATTCTTCTAAGGCTGTGATAATTGCAATGGCGGGTCGGAGGCTGAATTGTTAGGGGTAGGGAATACCTAACATCCGAAAATTCAGTCTCCGATTCCATGTATGTTAGTGTTTGTCTGGGAGTGACGTTATCCCTAGCGTCATCCGCCTACTGGAAATCAAATATGGATGCTCTTTCAACCATTATACAGCCCTTAGTACGCTTCTAACTTTTCTAAGATGCGCATGACTTTGATTCACTTTTTTCTTCACACCTGACTGGAGATCTTCCTACCTTTTGTTTCAGACCGTAATTTAGCCACATTTTTTCACATTTGACTGCATTTTTCACATTTGACTGCAGTTTGTTGAATTGACGTGATCAAAGATTTGTAAAAGCGCACTTAAGCGTCCACCAAATAAATAAATAAATAAATAAGTTTGAAATAGTCGGAATCCCCCTGGGCGTTGGGCACGCTGACTTTCCTCTGCTAACCTTTGCGTGCCGCATCCCAAGACGGGATTGATCGACGGCAAATGCTTTATCCTTTTATCCTTTTAACCTTTGCGACGTGATTTTAGCCTTTCACCATTAGTGACCTCTATGAACCAGGTCGTCTAAACAGAAGCTACGGGATAAAACTTTCGTGTAAAAGCGCTCAATAATAAAAGTGCATAGTGGTGCCAAGTGTGCTGCAACTGAAGCAGAAGGCGAAAGAATCCATCGAAAACACTAGAATTGCGGGCCTAAACTTTTTTGTGAAGTCGGTTGCGATAGGTGGAGATTCAGAGCGAACAGAGAAGGCAGGAAACGCGAGACAGCACGCCATATGAGAGGGGCACACAGAAAACCTGGCGCTGCAACCGCCTCCGAACCACTGTCCGCGAGGTCGCTAGTCGGGAGAATCGGTAAGACCTTAGTGCCCTTGTCGCGCTCTTTCAAGAGGTGTCAATGACACATCAGCGACGTTCGCACACAACCCTATTCTACTTTAGAGGGACTACTCCAGTGGTCTTGCCCAGAGCTTGCCTTCAAGATTGTCAAATGATATGAGTGCTCTGATTTCCAGTTCGCTCCTTTAGTGATACAATTCCTATGAGAGAAAAAAAATCGTTCACAGTAGGGCTGTGATGGCTGCAGGGCGGGGTCAAACGTCCGTTGCTCATGCTCAACAATTTGCGGTGCCCTGAGTCTTCTGGGCGGAACATTCCTAAGAACCATCTTTGAGTGCTTTGTCTCGGAGAAAGATATGTGAGTAGAAATTCTGTAATACTTAAGTCCGGGGTGAATTCGAGGTAAGAGGAGTGGGATTCGAAATGCCAGGAGACTGAGCTTGGGTGGCCAGGGTTGAGGAATTTTCGAATCCTCTGAACCAGTCTCGATCCCGTTTGACGGTTCAGCCGGAAAATGTGTAAGTGTCCATGCGCGCGCTTCACAACCCTCGCACTCGCGCTTGTCTTCACGCAAACTCAAATTATAGAGAAGGGCGCCCAGAAGTGCAGGGATAATTCAATCGAAAAACATTCGTTTGTACTTTTCAATGGTTGTCAATTAGTTATGGACAAAATATATTACTTTACCATTCATGTGAATCGCAACCAATCGAGCGGCTTGGAGGAAGTTCCACCAGGGATGGGTGAACAGTTCGCAACTTCGTCGTAATCGTTCCAAAACCGCCTGCTACACACAAATTTTGGCCTCCATCCTACAGGAATGTCAGCTAGAGGGTGGATTTGAGAATCGCAATCGTAATTAGTTTTATTTCATAGGAAGATCGGAAGGGATTGCAGTTTTTTCAACACGACCGTAGTGCTCAACGGAAAGCTGTCAAAGCAATTTTACTTTGAAGGGGAGGGGGGGTGGGGGCGTTCGATGGCGTTAGGCAAAGCTCTACAGATCAATCGGATCGCTGAAGGAATGATGAGCTTTTTTTTCGGGTGGTAGAGGTTTTCAAATTACCCTGCGTGTTCAGTAATGCCATCTTGCCATTATTGCTGTTCCCAGCCTTGTCAAGTTGGAAGGGATACTTCATTCTCAAGGGGGTGGCGCTATGGGCAAAACACTCGAAACAGAGCGCAGGACTTTAACCGCACCTCTTGTTTTTCGGAACAGTTGGCTTAAAGGGCAGCTGCGTAATACAGAATAACAACTTTTGCTTGCATTTTTCGGCTTGCGCTGGCCTATTATTAATGAGAGGAAACCGCGGCCCGAGTTTTATGCCGATCCCAGTTGCGCAAGCGGGTGACCCTGCAAGCGAGCTCCAAAATTGTTTTCAGGGTGCGTCAGTCTCCTGGTGAGTGCGGACGATAGCTGTCACCAAAGCTCAGAGCATGTCCATTTTCTCTCGAGCCTTGATAATGCGCAAAAACGCCGTCAAACCCCGCCAAAAGCGCTTCAACGCTTCTCCTTTGCTGCTGCGCGTAACCGTTGCGAGGTGTCTGCGCCACTTATCATCATTAATACTCTCTGCGCTTTTGCTTTCTGCTGGCCCCCCGATGTCCCACTAATGCTCTGAAACAACAGTGAGGAAAGTACTTTGTCCAGCGTGTTCGCCGATTCGTTTCCCTTCTTTGCTAATGTTTGGTCTAACTTCCGCAACCGTAGTTCATTATTCGGTTAGCTCGAGAACCAGCCATTTGATTTGCGTGTCATCAAACATGGTGTTCTTGCTCAGTGGCCCCGCCTCGTCTCACAAATTCCTTCGGTTTTTATTCTTGGAATCAAAACCCTCAGAAGAAAGAAAGGTTCGCCTGCACAGGAATGCTTGGAATAGCGGAATTTTTGTAACGAGAAAGCAGAGCAGGTTTCGGCTTCCTGTCACCTCACCCCTACCCCTCCTCATGCATCACCATCATTACCAAGTGGAATACAATGGCAATTTATTGTGCGACGTGATTAAAAATAAAACACCGTCAAATCACGCCGCTAGGCAACAGCCGCTCCGCAGCTTCCGCCTATTTCTTCGAACAACACTTAACAGCTTTCGGTCCTTACTCTTTAGCTTAGCGATTTTAAAGAAAATCAGCTATCATGGATGCAAGTAACCCCCTCACAAAGCAATACACCTAATCAAAGTTCACCTTGTTTGAGGCTTTTCGAAGAAGCGAAACCATGAAATTTGGGACATGCTTGCCTCGTGGGAATTCTTCAAGGGGTCATATGTGGCCAGGGTCACATACAGGGGTCGTGGTTGCCAAGAATCGCAAAATCAGATTTTGTCCCTGCCTATTATGAGCACTAGCTCTCTGCCCCTTTCGTAGCCTCTGTCACCTCTCTGCACGGCTTATAGGACCTTAAGAAGATAAGTTGCTCATTTTTGTAGCAAGCAGCACTCAGTTGAAGAAGTTCTCCCATCATGAACGGAAAGTCCCTCATCTTATGGTCGGGTATGCTTACCACAACTCTCCAGGGAATGCTTTATACCTCCCTTCTTCTCCCTAGCGTTAGTCCGGCGCAGTCGCAGGGTCCGCTGTGCTTTATACTTCCCTTGGGGTTTCGGAGGTGACCGAGGTACATCGAAAGATTCTGGAACGCTGACTAAAAATATATACACTGAAGCAAGTGCTACATGAATTTTCCAGGAGGGTTATGTTATGTTATGTTATGATTTATTGTCGGTAAACAAGGAGGGTTGACCCTTCAAACATGAAAAAAGGAGTTTTACAAGGAAGCCAACTTGTGTGGTATTACCCTCGCACTGCAGACAGCAATAAGGTTCGGTCCCCGTCCGTGCGCAACTTTTTGCACGTTGTGATACACAACAAAGGGTTCTATGTGGAAGATGAATAAATGGTCCCAAACGAGTGCCATTTTCGTGATCTGATCACCAGTAACGCCTGTACGTAAGATTATAGTGAATTTGTTGGGCAAAGTTGTTACGTCGAACTGGCGCCAGATGGCCACTGCGCTAAAACCTCATATCCATGTTAAGGACACCTACTAACCCCTAGCCAAATTCAGCGGAAATAGGGTTTGCGCAGGAGCTTTGAAAACGGCCCTTCTAGCATCCCTCTCTACGGTGTCTTCTATATGGACAGTGGGTGCTTTTGACAAACAATATTTTACTAGTTGTACTCCATTCTATCACTTAGTACAATTATAATATCCTGTGTGCATAGTACTAATTTATATCCCAACCCAATGGAGCGGTCGGTATAACTTCCAAGTAATTAGAGCGGCAGAAAAGGCTGGACCATTTTCACGCCGGGCGATGGTTCGCAAAGGGGTTCGTGGTCAGTGGAAATGAAAAGATGTGTTTCCAGAGGTGTTGTCGAATCGTCATGGGTAAACCTCTCAGGTATGGCAGCGTAGCGCGTCAAGGAGTTCCGATGACTATCTCTGACAGACAAAAATTCTGCGCCCAGACCTGAAATTTGTGTTCATCGAAGAACTTCCGCATTACATTATGTTGACAGCCACTAGGGTGACATTTGTTATCTCTTTCCCAACTCAAAAACTAGATCACCCCAGAAGATAGTCGTCGTTGACTTCGCAGTGTATGGGAGCGAAATGGACAACCGAGCTCAGAAGTGCAACCACAGGACTTAGGCAATTCAACGTTTTGTAGGGTTGTCTGGAAGCCCTCACACATGCACACTACTACAATATCTCTGCTTTCTTTAATTTCTTAGAAGGCTTGCGAGAAGGTCTTCCAGGAAATGTCCAGCTTTCTCAAAACGGTTCTTACATGGTGTAGGGGTAGGTGCATGGAATACAGTACTGCAATTCATTCTTCCGCGGCCCTCTGAACAACAAAAAAGGGTGATAAAGTGTTACGCGGTTCAAACACCTTGCAGTGAGAATTCTGCATTTTGTGTTGGCGTTTTCAAAATTTGCCAAAAATTGCGACAGCGAAATCAACTTATTTGTCATATCTAAAATTGGATCATTGGCAACCTTTATACGTAGGCTTTGGCTTAAAAACTGGTGAAGAAGGTTGAAAACGGCGTTCCTTTCAGAGACAGGAAAAATGAACCACAGTTCTGTGTTCCATGCACGTACCTCTATCTCATGCAAGAAACAAACCGTTTCGATAAAGCTGGGCATTTCCTGGAAGACCTCCCTGGTTAGTCCTAATACCACATGAAGCGTATGCTTTTCAATCTACACTCTCTCATCATTAGGCTGACAGAACTCCTGTAACCTATAATAGAAAGGAAGGGAAGTAAAGAAGGAGTGTTCGAGTTGGTTATGAACCCAAGCTCAAGCTCATACTTGCAACTGAGGAGGATGTAGCAAGCGATCGAATGGACTTATGGGATGGATTTGTGAGGGGGTTAATGAGCTATTTCTAAAGTCGAAGCGTCAAAAACCTATGAGTAGTCCACGATATATAAGGTGGCGGGCCCGTCGGCCTACCTAAGTCCCATCATCGTGGTTAACAACCCACAGTGCTTATTTTAATGTTAGTCACAGGGGGAAAAAAACAAACCGTTTTTTTTGTGAACGAGTGCGACGTGAAGGGGAACTTCTGGAAACAACTTTGAGAATCCCGAACGACTCGACATTCCCAACGAACCTGTGGCCGACCGAAATGAAGCATTGCCTGTGAGCATGAACATTACCTGCAATTCTTGAGCCATTTGGAATCGCCATAAAACGGTCATGTCGCTAGAATGGAAGTGTGTGTTGCGCGCCGAATTGGAGTGTAAGTAGAAGAAATCGGAGGCGCCATGGCTATGTATGCATATTATCGGGAAGCGAACGTTCTCAATGAAGATTGGGCGCTTCAATGGCCAGAAACCAACCCATTCCTCAACTTACGAGTTGGCCCAAGTTAATGAGTGAAATACCCTACCGTGCGGTATACTTGGAAATGAATCAATTTTTTCAATCGAGCCATCTACGCATAGGAGGTCTGTGTTGGTTAACCATAATTTGATTAAAATTCCATTCCAATGATTATTTCAATTCATCATGTTGTGTCAGTACGTGTGTTGTGATTTATGCAACCAAGGCGAAGAACAGGTCTTGCCTACAGCTACCGTATGGATTGTGGGTCGACTTGACTAGGCCATTTTTCAAATTAGCGTGTGATCTGGGTTAAAGTGTTCTTTGAAGGAGGATTCCACATTAGATCGCTGGTCGAATAAGGGAAATATAGCTAGTGGAAAAGCAGGTCGCTGCTAAGGATGCAGGATGACCAGTTGCAGGGAAGGGTATGCCACAGCGGATTGGCAGCGCTATGCCCGCCCACCCCTTCGCCGTCTGACTCTAGCCGTTTCGCAGAGAGAGAGAGCGTTAGCGTTGAAGAGGGCAGCATCGATGAGAGTCGCATCAATGCGGAAATCAAGGGCAAAGAAGGGGTCCCATTTCTCGGGTTCTGGGCCGTTTCTCATGTTTTTTATCCTTGCACCACTGATTACCTCTAGCTTGATTTTGAATGGGCTGCCTTCTCATCGTAAACTCTCCAGTGCCTTTCGATAAGTAAGTCGTGCAGGATTGTCGTAAAAGATTACGCAGCACAGGAATCCGCCACCTTTTTTGTGTTCTCGGTTCAAACTAGTGGACTGAAACAACTTTGTTGGCGCTCAGAACAAGAAACGATGTGCACCGAACAAATATAGAGTATATACATTAATCAGATCAATTTTGAGAAACGATAAGCGAAGGGTGGTCCTCTATGAACATCTATTTACAAATTCCGATATACAAGACATTATATACACGAAAACCCGCAAGATCAGAGACTAAAGAGTAGCAGCTAAGGAACTCAGCTGAGGATTTAGATGGAGCCGAAACCGATCTTGAAACCTTGAGTTTTCCTCATTTCTCTCACAAATGACGCTGTGCAGTCGCAGCAGATCGAGCAGAGCATGCCCATAGGATAGCCCTTGTTGTCCGTGCAGCCGTTCATCGGAACGAAAGTCTGATGGCAGGCCTTTCCTTTCCTAGTCGGGGCATCGACCATGAGGCTGCCGTCGTTCGGCACGGGTCCTGTGCACCCTGTCATGCGACATTTCGGCGGGGTAATCTGAAAATGGGCAGAATCAGCTGAGTAGTAAAGAAACAGCAGTCAACAAACACCAACAAACAAAAACCAGGCAGAAAGTGGTACCTTGTCAAAATCTCCTCCTTCGAGATAGGTGGCCGCAGGGTTGGTAGCCGCAACCTGTCCTCCGCTATTCTCACCAAAATCAAAGAACTCGAAGTCGATCGGAGAAGGTGTTGCTACCGGACCGCTCAGCTTCGGAGCAACTCCAGGTTGAGCATCGAGAAATTCTCCACCTTCTGGTACGACGTCCGGAATCGGTCTATCGTTGTCCAAGGACCGGTACGACTTCTGCAACGGCTGCTTCTCCGTCCTTTTTGGCGCCGAAGCAGTTACGCCATCCGATCGACAGGATTTCTGTTGAAAGTGAAGAACGGATCCACTGGGATGGCCTCGATTGGCTTGATTTCCGCAGTTAGCGTAGCTGCAATATCAACGGATAATACAAGCACATAAAAGCGATCAAGTCAGGGCTGGGCTCACCGTCTGATCGTTCTCGGTTGTTCGGCAAAGCGGTGCACAGAGTAGACACAAGAAACAGTACGAAAACAAACATGTAGATGGATTGAAGTGCGACTTGTAGAT